CTCCGGGGGGGGGGAAGACAAAGGGGAGGGGAAAAAAGGATGAAATCAGTGAGGAGATTATACAGGACAGGAAGCACAGGACTTCCCTAATATTAACGTACCTTGAGACAAAAGGTTTTTTGTCCACAAAGATGGGATTAAGGCAAACTTGTTGGCAAGTCTAGACAAGGTTTTCTTTCCACCACCCCCTCTCCTGGATATATTTACATATCTAGACACCTGGATAAATATATTGGATGGATCTGGGTTCTGCTTATATGCAGCAGTCTTGGGTGAATGATTGAGGAAATGTGAAGGTTTTGCCATGTCCTGCCTGAGTATTTGCCCAGGCTAACACAGAGAAGTATGTGACCAACTGGTCCCAAAATTTCTCTTACTAAATGAGACATTTGGTAAGTGAGTTTTGCCCCATTTTGTGACTTTTCTTGCCACATTTGTTAAGTGAATCACTGCAGTTGTTAAGTTAGTAACACAGTTGTTTAAGTGAATCTGGCTTCCCCATCAACTTTGTTTGTAAGAAGGTCACAAAAGGGGATCACATGACCCCGGGTCATTGCAACCGTCATAAATATGAGTCAGTTGCCAAGCATCTGAACTCTGATCATATGACCATGGGGACGCTACAGTGGTCATGTGAAAAACGTTCATAAGTCGCTTTTTTCAGTGCCGTTGAAACTTCAAACGGTCACTAAATTAAATGCTGCAAGTCAGGAGTCAATTCTTACTCTTCTTCGCGGTATGCAAAAGAATATATTCATTTTCCTCTTTGTTCTGAAGATAACAAGCACAGTTTCTGAACTCAAATCAAAAACTCCCTTCCATAAAAAAGTAGCTTTTTTATTCAAGACGATCTTTCTTAAACTCTGCTCTAAATTATAGGATGACATTGTAAGTATAAGTATAACACAATTCTTTTGGCAACGAATGAAACAAGACAATTAGAACATCTTAAGCTAGTTCTGCCTGCCAGTGTGAACTCTCAAAACTCCATCTCTTCCTTCTGCCCAGTAACAATTCCATGATTAAAGGAATAGAAAATAAAATGTATCAAGAGCCATTTAGAAAGTGCATTAACAGCAAGCCAACGAAATGATTCGTTAGCTTTTCCTTTTCAATACTATGTTTACACAAGATGATTACACCAACTAATTAGTATTTCTTCCTAGATTATATAAGAGAATTTTTTTTAGATTTTTTATAATGAGATGAATGAAGGAGGCTTGGACTAATTTAATTGAGACAAGTTAATTTAGTTTCTAAATGTGACCTATACAGTTAATTAGCATAAAGTATTTATATCTTCATCCTCCTTAAAGGTACGCAACCAAGCCCAAAAAAAAATAAAAAAAATCAGTAGAAATGGCTAGACAAAAACAAAATTGTTTACGTTTGAAAAATATAGATGGAATTTGTATGTCTTGATTATGCTTAAATTTTGGTTTGGATTTTTGCAACTACCAGACTCTGGAGGAGACAATGAACGCTTCACATTACAATAGAGAACAATTTCTAGGCCTCTATTGCCCAGGTGATTAGGTTCAAACATATCTTAGTTTGTTGAACAAACTATAATTGGCTGGGTCTACAAACACTCTAAGACATAAAGCTGGTATTCCCAGTGTATGCCTTTCTCAACATACTAGATTTGTATCCTGCTTTTTCTTCAGAAGTTCAAAGTTGCTTGTTTCATTTTATCACTATGCTGAGAGACACGGCAATGGGCCAAAAGTCACACAGTGAATTTCCATAACTGAGGATGATCAAACTTAGTCTCCCAATCCTACCCCTATCCTAAAACCCTATATACACTGGCAATAAGAAACCACAAACTTCTTCCTTGGTGTACACCAGAATCCCAGCCCTCTTTAAATGTATTAAAAACTTTATACAAAACACTAGCTTCCAGAATTATCTTTATATCCAAGAAAATCCTTTGTTTCCACAAAGGCCCTGTTATTGTTGTTAGTTGCGAAGTCGTGTCCGACCCATCGCGACCCCATGGACAACATTCCTCCAGGCCTTCCTGTCCTCTACCATCTGTAGGTGTTCTTAGAAAAATAGAATAAGGAACTAAGTACATCCTAGTGCATTGTTGTAAAATGGATCACCTTCTAAGAGGAAAAAAAAGTAAATCAGAAAGATAAAGAAAGGTTAATATCGATGGAGGGTCTAGATCAGGGGTAGGCAACTTGGGTCTTTTATGACTCGTGGACTTCAATTCCCAGAATTCCTGATGGTTCAATTGTGGTCATAAGTTGAAGTTGAAGACCACCTGTACTGGATAAATTTTAGTGAATATCATTTCCTGGAAAAGCTGGAAACAACCGCAGAAGGGCAAAGGCTGTTCATTTACCAGCTGTCAGAGAAACTCTGCATTTACAACCTGTTGTATGTACTGCACAGCTCATAAACTGAAATTTAAAGGATGATCTGTTTGCTTGCTTAAATATAAAAGCCAAACTACCACTGTCACTGAGTATCCTTTCACAGGAGAAAACTATTATTAACTATTTTAAATTATAATAATAGCTTAACAGAAGAGCATAAGTGGTTCACAACGAGGAAAAGATTTATTAATGCAGGTTTGAGGAAGGAGGTTACCAAGCCACAATCATCTTATTAATATAGAATTGTCATTTAATGTAATTCTGTACTTCAGCTATTTCACCCTTTCTAAAAAAAATTAGGAGCAATATTTCCTATTCCCTGTACGTAGGTCTTTGCCACTTTAATTAGCAAAGATGACTCCAAGTCAAATTGCAAAGAAAGCTACCATTAGCTTCCATAAGGCAATTGTTCTGATTAATGTACAGTAGAAAAACAAACGGGCTTTTATAAAACCATAATAATCATGGCCTCAAGTGTATAAACTCTGTCTAAAATAGTTATGGTGAGTGATAAAACTGGGAGATTGCCAAGTAAGAGTCCCATTCCCCTCCCCATACATATTTCCATTTAAATGCTATGCATTTGACTCATATGACCCAATGCATTGTTAAAGTAGGAACTGTGCCTCTGTTACACTTCTCAGACTGAAAATGATTCACCTCTACTATGTTTTTAAAGTTCACCCTCCATTTTTCCTTGTAACGTACAGTTTTTCCTTGTAACATACAGTTTAGTAGCAAAACAACAATTCTTTTTTTTTCAAGAGGCAATTGGACTTTCTTGTTTTTCTTTGAAGACATTTCGCTTCTCATCCAAGAAGCTTCTTCACCTCTGACTGTATGGTGGGGAATGGAAGGATTTATATGCCTTGCAGCCTGATCATTTGCATTCTTTTAAAGAGTCATTGAGACCATTGGAGGTTTTTCTATGTCCTCAGGGTCACCTGAGTAGTGCAAATGGGTGTGGAACCTTCTTGGAACTGCTGAAAGGATTGTGTTGTAGAACAGAGATAGATGATGTCGTATCTCTCCCCCTCTGTTGAGAGAGGGCTGTTCAATTTTGACATAGATAGCCTCTTTGACTCCTTAGAACAGTGGTGGCGAACCTATGGCACGCGTGCCAGAGGCAGCACTCAAGAGTCCTCTCTGCGGGCACACGTACCGTTGCCGCAGCCTCGCCTGCCCCCATGACCCCCTCCTCACCAGCAGCCCCCTGGAAGAGTCGCCCCTGAGCGTGGCCCACGCGGAGCAGCGCAGCCAAGGACATGGCAGCCAGGCAGCATAGACAAGACTCTGCCCTCATACCCCATCCTGCACAGTTGATGCTGCAGGGCGCGGACAGAGGGTGTGGCTGCCATTGCGCTGCTGGGCTGCCTGGGCAATCTGCGGCGGGCCCTGGAGGTGGTGAGTGGCCCTGCAGGCAGGTGGGGCACGGGGTGGGGGTGGGGCAGGGGTAGGGTAGGGGTGGAGCCAGTTTTTGGGCACTCGGTCTCTAAAAGGTTTGCCATCACTGCCTTAGAACTTGAATGGAACAAATAGTTTCTACCCATTATTGTTTCTATTTATCCACTGTCCCACAATTATTCCTTAGAAGTCAAGTTGGTAAAGCAATTATAATTGCACCACAACAAACAAACAAATCTCTGCTATGAGTTATTAATATATTCACCTCTGTTTTCAGTGGGACTTCTTTCTATGTAAGTGAGGATCAGACCACTGCCAAAGCAGAAGAAATTGGATGGTATTCATGAAGCAAATGTAAGAGACTATGGGAAATTGTTCTTAATATACAATGTTCTACTCCCTTTTTGTCAGAAGAACGATACAGAAGAAAAAGAATTTAGAAGTCTACCACAGAATATAAGCACATACTAATTATTAATTATTATTATTACTACACTAAAAACACATATAAGTGCTTACTCTTCTATGTCTCCAGGAAATAGGGTTTGTTTTTTAAAAAAAAAAATCCACTGAAGGACATAGGCAAGTTATTTTCAATTAGTCCATATACTGAGGGACTGAATCTTTTTCACTACCTCTACAAACATCCTGAACTCAAAAAATGGAATACATTTACTCACTTCAGTGATATCAGAATTCTTTATACTATCATGCCTGTGGTTACTATTGCCACTTCTGTTTCAACGGCAAATTTAATTGATTTCTCTTCTTGACCGTGACCAACCAATATAATTTAATACACTGCATGTCTACTCTGTGATATGTCAACACTTCATAAATTAGAATGTCTACTAATTTCCCAGTGCAGAAATCAGTGTTTGCTAATGATGCATCAGAAATTTAGCTTTAAAAGTAAATTAAGTGCTCATTGCCTCAAAAATAAATATTAATTCCAATTCCATGCTGAATTTCTCTGTCTTGAATGTCTAGGCCCTATTATACAGCACTTGTGTGCTCCATGTCCTTATTTAACCTAACCAACTAACCAACCAAACCCATAAACAAAAAAATTGGGCTAAAAACACTGGCTTCTGTAATGATCAAACCCTGTATTTTCTCCCCTTCTAAATTATAACGTGCCTGAGGTGGAACAGAGAAAAACAGAGTTCAAGTTGTTGTATTCAACTTGAACCTTCTGTGATTACATACCTGCAGGGAAGCAAAATCTTTAGAAGCACAGGCTCCAAGAATAGCAGCACCCATTAGCACAGACTCCACTTCTTGGGCTAGAACAACAGGCATGCCTAGACAAAGACAACAAATCAGTTAAAGGGCCTGAGGTATGAAGCATGTAAGACACACTTCTCCCTGAAATATTAAAGCAGTTGCCTCTTTTTAAAGGCTGATATGGCTCCTTGGTATGATCTTATTGGTGTCCCCTAAGCATTAAATGCAAGCCAAATTGAATGTGGAAACAGCCAGGAGCAGCATTAAGAAACCTGCAGTGATATATGTATACTGTCTTAGGGTGCATAGATGAAATTAGGTTTTCTGTGGTAAAAAAATATTTTGACAAATAAAATTGTTTAAACTTGTGGAGCAACTAAATTATAAAATGGCTTTATAGCTGTCGTGCTTTAAATGTATTTTTAATTTACTTGGTGCTTATGTTTCACATTGTAAGTGCCTTCGAACAATGAATGTATTCATCTTGCCCTCTGAACAATATGAATCTGAGGCTTTTAAATGTTCTATGAAATTATCTATTGGTAGCCCGTATAATTGGCTAATGGGTACTTGCATTTAACAGTAATATATTCAGTATTTCCCTGTCTTTTCCTGGAAGAATAGGGGATTGATACAGGAATGTTAGCTATTTTATCAGATAGATTTTAATGAGGGCAACAGAACCAAGAGCATTTTAGTCAGATGAACTCTGACATCCTATGTCAATCAAAGTTCCTACAATCAGGAAAAATTCCAAAGCTGCAGAAAGGCCTCTTTGTTCAACATTCTGCTTGGCTATTAGATACAGTCAAAGGACCCCAGTTTAAAATTTAATCAGAATTATCTATTAATAGATCTTTAATTTTAGACATCAGAAAGAGCTCTTGGTTCCAAAGCTATTTGAATTAGATAAGGAAAAAGGTCCAATCACATTGGACAAATAGAAAAGACCGCTGTGGCAACAGCCTGTTGTGCATATCTAGCTCAGGTCAAGACCTTATATCATTTGGTTCACTTTTTCTGCTTTCAAGAAATGTAATTACTTAATGCTGATTTTGATCTCAGTTCCTGGTTCGATGTTGAAGAGATGCAAATCTAAAAGCAAAATACCCAGAGCCCAAGCTTTAGACCTGATCTAAACCATATTGGCTCCTCTGAAGAATAAAGGGCTCATATGGTTCATGGTTTGCTTTTAATCCCAACCTTTTAGAACTGTAGAAATACATTTTCCACAGGTGAAATACATATTCTTTTTAACCACAAGATACTGTATATCCAAAAATACTCATGCGTAAATGACAAGTTAGGTGAGTTAGGATCTCCTCTCATAGACAGGTAACTTGTTATAAATGCTATTGACATTTTGACCAGAAAAATGAATCTCTTGATATCTTCTTCTGATTTAAAATGTGCCAATTTTATATATCTGAAAGATTTGATAAATTGCAAATACTAACACATCACTGAATACTATGAATTAAATGCAACTGCTTGCCTATTTTGAATCAATAGACATATTAAATCCTACAACACATGGTTTACTGTACATGGTTGCATTACTTGACAAATTAAAATTATTCCTTTATTTTCAACAAATTATTGAGAAATAATCCATCAGCAAAATACAACTGTAATAATATTTCTGGGCAGCACAAGAAATATTATTTCACAATGGTACCTACTCTAAACATTTCAATTCCTGGTATTTACTTATCTTTATATAGGAATTTGTTTCTGATTGAATTAGACTAATTCATCAATTTCAGCACCATTTATAATTATTGCCATGCCTGTCAGAACAATCTAGAACAATTCCCCTTACAAAATAGAGGCTTTTGCTATTGCACTTTAGCTCGTCTCAGATTTTTTTGAGAGTCCAATGCAATAGTGTCCCTTTTTTCACTGATTTTTTTATCTATCCTAATTGCATCTAGCTGTGGTTCAGCTTAATGAATTTAACTTTTCCAATGAAACACTGAGATACTATTAATATTAACCAGTAAAGGTAAAATGTACAATGGCAGACTCCCAATCTACAGGTAGTCCTTGACGTATGATTACAAATGAACCCCAAATTTCCGTGGCTAAGTAAGACAGTTCTTGAGTGAGCTTTGCCCCACTTTATGACCGTTCTTGCCACAATTTTTAAGTGAGTCACTGAAGTTGTTCAGTTAATAACAAGGTTAAGTGAACCTGGCTTCCCCATTGATTTTGCTTGTCAGAAGGTCACAAAAGATGATCACATGACTCCGGGACATTGCAACTGTCATAAATATATGCCAGCTGCCAAGCGCCCAAATTGGGGATGTTGCAACAGTCTTAAGTGTGAAAAACATAACTCACTTTTTTCAGTGCCATTGTAACTTTGAACAGTAACTAAACCAGGGGTCTTCAAACTTGGCCCTTTTATGACTTGTGGACTTCAACTCCCAGAATTCCTCAGCCAGCATGGCTGGCTGAGGAATTCTGGGAGTTGAAGTCCACAAGTCATAAAAGAGCCAAGCTTGAAGACCCCTGAACTAAACAAATGGTTGCAAGTCAAGGGCCTACCTGTATTGGAAAGTTTAAGATATGACTTGTTTGCTGATTATTTTTATGAACTTGTCATAATATTCACCCTGCAATTTCTTCAGCCAAGGAACAGGAAAGCAAGACTCAGTCTACTGCTAATTTCCTTTGCTGTATTCTGAAACTTACCAATGATGTCCGCGTGCATTTGGACAAAGAGAGGGTTCTTGCTCAGACCACCACACATAAAGAGAGTGTTGATACGATGCCCTGCGGCTTGCATTGTTTCTACAATATGTCTGGTTCCCAACTTAAATGAAACAGAACATAAAGAAATATCTATTAACAAAAAATGCTACAGGTAAAATGGTTCTTTGAAAAGTTGAAAAGCCATAGTTATTTCCATTGAGAAGAAGAGTTTTTAAGTCACTATAACGTTGCATTTCTAAGTTTTCTGCTTCTGACATTAAATTGTCCATCTACGCCTCCAGATTAATTGTAAGACAGACATTAGCTTATAAGAAAAACATACACAGAAGTACATCCTCTTCCTCATTCACAAATAGTTGAAGAAATGCAGGAATTAACACTGTTAAACACAGAGCAATCATATTTTTTATCTCTTTTTTATATCCATGTTAATACATTTTTTTTAGAAATCAATTTAGTTATAATAGCTCCGATCAAGAGCACTTTTTTCAACTCTAACCTTTGTTTTACCTTCTGAAAAAGTAAAATTAAAACAATAGAAATAAACGTTTAAATGGGTTTACGGGATTTTTGTTTCACATTTCCAGCTCATGCTGAGAAACCCTTTGAACGCTGTGTATTTAAAATTGTTTTTTGAATTTCAGCTGAAAGAAAATAAAAAACCTCAAAAGTAACATTACTGCCAAATCTACCCTTTGCCAAACTCATAATGCTAAAGAATTCCCTCAGCATTTAACACTGAACATCTTCTGAAGCATGGCCAAAGTTCATTGTAAGATTTACAATGTACTACAAATGCCTGTACAGACTCCGCCAGGATGTTTAAGAAAAGCAGAGTTAAGCTTCAATTGTTTATTTCATACTGATTAAGTTTCACGGGAATTTTGATTTAAGATAGGTAGTTCTGGCAAACTTTTAACATTAACAAGGGCATCTAATGGAAAGCACAATACAATTAATGACACACAATACGTTAATTAACTATATTAGATGTGGATGATGGGAAATGTAATCCAACTCTTTTGGAAATCATTAGACTGAGGAAAACTATCCTATGCCCATTACTTTCATTACTAATGGACAGGTATTCACTTTTAAAAATTGTGTCTTGCTTTGAGATTGTGAATGGTTTTATTCTTAACTACTACAATTTTACCACTTGAGAGCACTGTGGATATTTTTCAGAATTCCCACAACCTATATTTATCTAGATATCTGTAACATTAACTGAAGTTAATATTTATAATATCTCTACACACACAAAAATAACCTTTTCCCCATCTCAAGCCTAATTATTCTGTTTTTCTTTGCAGTATGATACCCATTAAAATTATCCTTACATTTGCCTGAAAAAGGTCACAGCAAAGTTTAAGATGAAACTACCTCATTTTTTTGAGTTAACATCAATATGGTTAATATAGATTCATTAATTTATACATTACTACAGGTAGTCCTCGACTTACAACCACAATTGAGCCCAAAATTTCTGTTGTTAAGTGAGACATTTGTTAACATTTGCTCCATATTATAAACTTTCTTGCCATCGTTGTTAAATGAATCACTGCAGTTGTTAAATTAGTTAACACAACTGTTAAGTGAAACTGGCTTCGCTATTGAGTTTGCTTGTCAGAAGGTCGCAAAAGGGGATCACATGACCCGAGACACTGCAACTGTCATAAACATGAGTCAATTGTCAAGTATCTGAATTTTGATCACGTGACCATGGGGACGCTGCAATGGTTTTAAATGTGAAAAACAGTCATAAGCCACTTTTTTCAGTAGCGTTATGACTTTGAACGGTCACTGAACAAACTGTTGTAAGCCGAGGACTACCTGTATATGGAAAACTATGCAAACTAAGAGATATCCCATGCAAATGGCACTTTCCTGCAAAATCCCTTACTAGAAAGAAAACAGATGAGCTTTTAGATAGTTTAAATGATATTTAATACATGTGAACAACATGCGGCCTGAGGTTGTATACAGTTGTAAGTTAATATATTGTGACTGTAATATTTTGATTCCTATAAAAGAGTGACTAATTTCCAAGTAAGAAAGTTATACTTCCAAAATGCCCTTAAACATTAAAAGTAATATTTTCTGAATGTTACAGAAAATAGCAGGCCCTGATCCATTGGTTTTCTTTGTTGTTTTAGTTGCTACAATATTAAGAACCAGCTCTGTATATCAGTGAGTAATAACACACACACATACACACACCCACACACATTACATTATATATGCAGTACCTCTGTAAAAATAACACAGGAGGGACCAGTGAGTTTAATTTCAAAGCACAATAGAATCTAGTATAAAGAAACACTAGAATAATAATAGATGGATTTCCCAGGATACCCAACTGAGAAAACTTCCACCTCATTAGCATAAAATAATGACATAGTGCTTGTTTGCCAAAGAAGTATTGTCGTCTTTCACAAGATAATATTAGTAGTTCTCATTTTCTGAGAAATGATTTGCATTTCTTATTTAAATCAAAAAGACTGGCATGAAAGTACACCACTGTTGTACTATCAAAGAACAGTAATAGTAAGATTAGCAAATATACATTCTAACTATATATAAAGTAATTCTGTTTGTGTCCGGGGAAGTGTTAAAACTGTGCAAGTGGATTTCAAGAAATTGGTCTCATTGCTAAACTGGGCAGAGTAATATTATGGAACACTCTAACAAAGAACAGAAACTATTGGACTATGATAAAAAAAAAGTTACAGTTCCGTAACAGATTTGATAGATATCTGTAAGGTTGTATCAATTATAAATGTCCACATATGAGGAAGGTGAAGCAAATATATATGTGTGTGTGTGTTATGTATGTGTATGGGTAAATACTGTGTGCTCACAGTAAAAAATGACCATAAAGGTTATCTTATCTAACTGGGGCGCCACCCAAAGGTGTGCACAGACCCTCCTGGCCGCAACTGCCGCCTGCTCTTTGAGCAGGAGCCACGAGTCCAGGAAGCCCCCCAGATTGTGCACTGGATCTGTTTTGGGCAGTGCTGCTCCATCCAAAACCAAAGATGAAAATCCTTGTCTCTGGGGGAATCCAAATATCCACAGCCATTCCATCTTGCTAGGGTTGAGTCAGAGTACACTTCATCCAATCCAGTACCTAACAGCCCCCATAGGACATCCATGGCATTTCTCAGGGGGCCTTTTCAAAAACAAACAAACTAACTAACTTTCTTTTGAACTGGGTCCAAATTAGTGTTGTTTGATGTTCCAGCAAAAAGCTAATCCCAGAAATCTACAGTCTATCTAATCCATGCCAGGCACCATATCCTGGGATTTAAAAAAAAAGTTATGTAGAAATATTATGTATAGTGAATACTAGAAAAGTATTGGAATATCACAGGATCATCTGCCATTCTATTTCACAAGGAAAAGCAAAAGCAAAATCTAATTAATTACTACCTGCTAATGGTATGTGTCTTCACAATTCCCTTCCCTTTTGCCGTTTGTTGAATGGGAAAATAAAATGGCCACTGGAATTACTTCAGCCATAAAAACTGAACTACTCATATGCAACAGTATCTTGAAAAGTAAGTGGAATAGGGTTTTTTGTGTTTTTAGCTCCTAAATTCTTGGTCTGAGATAGAAAAACCTGCGTTCCAGATGTACAAGGCTGCCTCCTAAAAATTCAAGTACAACATATCAATCAATAGTACCAGTAGTCCACACTACTGCTTCTGACACGACCAAATTATCATTGCACTCCGTATCTCTCAATCAAATGAATTTCCCCCTGTTGAACAGGAGTTTATATGGAATTAACCACAAGGAAGACAGATTTGGAGAGGAGACAACATAAATACAAATTTAAACACATTTGAAATTTCTTTTCTTTTTGTACTTTTTCTCTTTTTTAAAAAAAAATATTGCCACACTGCCTGCATTACTCCATAGAATAATATTAGGTTTAGGCCATTGCGGGATATGCTAATGCTGATAGTTATTTCTACAGGATACTGATGCCATCATTTGCAACAACAACAACAACAACAACAAAAACTCAATGCTATTAGGGTTAGATAAATTGTTTCAGTTTCTCCATTCACAAATAGACCTAAGAATTTCAACAGCCATTTGCTATGAAAAAAATAATATATTATGACCCCCCCCAAGAAAAGAACATTTCCCTTAAATCTTAGGGAAAATTTACTGAACTTACCGCAATGGCTTGAACTGTAGCTAGATAAATAAGAGCAAGATCATCAAGACTTTGAGATAGTGTCAGTCCCACTACCTGAAGGGAACAAGAACATTTCTGTACTTACTAATTTCCTTTCCCGGACAAGATTCTAATACATTTTATCATAGAAGTAATTTATGGATTTCATTATCACATGGTTTGGTAATAAACTCTAGCTTGAATTGCTTGGATTGGATAAATTTAAGAATACAGGTCTTTAAAAAGGCACTCATCTTCAGGATTTATTGTTACTTCCAAGTTGGGAAAATAATGCCAGTTGCAAGGGAACAACATAGATACTGGGGTACATAGAGGATAAATATACTTGCCATTTTTTGTGAATGGGGAACTGAAAACTGAGACAGACATCAATTTAATGTGTTTTGAAGGAAAGCAATTAGCATTTCTCCTTGCTTATTTTTATAGCAAGTTTCAGTTTAACTTCAAGCACTATGCATTTTCCCATGAAACCATCATAAACATAAATCAAAATGAACAGTTGTCCCAAAAGCAAAAGAATTAATGCCATCTAAAAAGCATGCCATCTTTAGGGTTTAATATGTGGAACATGAGATTGAATCCAATCTAACAAGTGACCTGATAAACATCACCTTTTTGCTATATTACGAGTATTGCAGAGTAAGCACAAAAAACTATTTGAAAACTCATGTACCCTATGAAAAGTCTCTTCAAGTATACCCTTGTGGGCCACAAACATAGCATTCAACTAAAAAAGAACTTGGATGCAGAAAATATTTTTTGTGGAAAGAACATAGAATAATATAGAATAGAGGGACTGGAAGAGACTTTGGAGGTCTTCTAATCCAACCCCCTGCTCAAGGAGACCATTTTCCATTTCAGACAAATGGTTGTCTAACCTCCAGAAGCTAGGCATTTGTGAAAGGGCAATGCTTGTAATGCTTGAGTGCAGAAAGAAGCTGGCAGATGAGGTTTGGATCCAGAGATTAGTAAGAAATACAGTGGCTCAACACTTTTATACTGAATTCAAGATTTTTACCAGGATGAAATTCTCTCTCTTTGTCCAAGTCTTCATATGCCTAATAAAGCTTTTGTAATGTGGCACATAGACTTACTGTATATACTTCCCACCCTATGTAACCTCAAAAAACAGCCTCTCGTCTTGGTAGACCTATCATATTCTTCTATATCTTTAACTGCATTTTTGCTTTTATATTCAGCAGCAATTATAATTTGGAATTTTCTGCTTGTCAAATCCCTGCAAATTTCAGCTAATCCTATAAAATCATATAAAACTATGCAAAATTAAAAAAGTTTTATATGTATAGGTAATGTTTTACCATTATATTTTAATGATAACAGAATTACATATAACTTGGGTTTTTTTTTCTTTTTTTTCATTTTTGGTTGGATATCAACAATCATTTCAGGAAAAACATTCTGTAGGATTTTCAAATAAAAATGATAAAATATTTAAAATAATGCTAATTTCATGGTCTTATTTTATACAATTATTCTGTTTTCACTCTTTTACAACAACAGACTGTTTCTTACCATGCCCTTTAGAGTCATATCTGCAAGGGGAGATCGGTTGCCATGGAAATCTGGCCAAACATGTAAATCAACAGTGAGCAAACCCACAGGCAAAGATTTCTTAATCAGATCCAGGTGACCATTCAAGTATGTATATATACTTTGAGCTCTGCAAGAAAAACAAATGAAAAAAAAAGGGAGTGAGCAGAGCTGGGGGAGAAAGGTTATTCTCTGAACATATTGCATGATTTGGACTCCTAATAAGAAATACACAAACTAGGAAAGGCTTGCAAAATGAAACTGTAAAGGAATAAGGAAAGAGAATATTAATATATTACTTGATGTATGGGGTTTATACAGGGATCTGAAACAGAATTTGGAGATACCAGCAAGAAAATGAACTGCACTATAATGCTAAAACACAGTTTGCTGTAATCAAGACTTGTTCAGAATTAGACTCTCAAATTGCAAAAGGTTAATAACTAAGTCTTAATGACATTTTATATTGTTATCTACCGTATACACTGACTGCCCTGGTACAAGTTTAAGGACTATTATCTTTGTACAATCAGAATAGAGCTGGAAGGGATCTTGGAGGTCTTCTAGTCCAACCCCCTGTTCAAGCAGGAGACCCTATACCATTTCAGACAAATGACTGTTGCTGGTCTATTAATTTAGTCACTTTGTCAAAGAATGAAATAAGATTGGTTTGGCATTATCTCTTTTTAACAAACCGATGCTGATTTTTAATTATAACTTTATTTGTTTCTAGATGTCCGTAGATCTGGGTTTTTTTATTATCTTTTCCAGTATCTTCCCAGGTATTGATGTTAGGCTAATTGGTCTGTAATTTCTTGGATCTGTTTGTTTTCCTTGTTTGAAGATGGGAACCACTTTCTTCCATGAAGAAAGACGTGTACTTTGTGAGATCACACGAGAACAAGTGATTTATATGTGAGACCGCATATAAATACATGTGATTTATATACACAACTTTAACAGAGAGATTAAATGGTGAAATACTCATGCGAGTCGGGATATTTAGCAGGCACAATGCAAATTCCACAGCCTCATCCACTGAGGGCTTGGATGCAATCCAGATAATGTGCACTGGGTTTAATTTCATTAATTTCAAGTGGAACTTAAGTGTGCTTAACTTTCTCCAGTATGCGCCCAGAGGCTGAACGCCAAAGAAAGCAAAACATGCCAAATCTCACTGAAATCAACTGGAACAGCAATCTAGCCTCATAATGCCTGCACTGACATGCCAATGGAACTTGCTCTTACCACTTTTATACATGTCTAAAAACCTTTTGAGCAGCTTTCTAATTTTTATCATTGGTTTTACCTTCTTTATCAAAGTATCGAAGACTTTCCATCTGCAGACAGATTGGCCAAAATAGCATCTCCATCTAATTATAACGGACTAATCAATGTCTCAGTTCTGGAGGTCTAAATAGTGATATTCATTTAGCCCCAGCCATGCACTAACGAGTTCCCTGTGGGAATTTGGCATGTGTTTACTATTCTGACTTCTGACCTCCTTGCAGCTGTATATTTATATTCTACATTTAAGCATTCAGCTTCACATTGTTTCAATTAGATCTTACCATGTGTTTGCTATCGGATGGTATCATTCAAAATGAAGTACACTTGGAACACATTAAAATAGCTAATTTACTTCATTATTCATATACTTTAAAGTTTTTTAAAACATTATTGTTATATTAATGTGATGTCTTGTATATGGGGGGGAGTCATAGTTTGAAAGTTGTTAAAATTCTTTTGTAGAATTATTTCATTTTCATTCTTACTGTGTTGCCCAGCATAACTGTTCAATGAAAGAGGACAAAAAAAAAAAGATAATGAAAAGCAGGCTTCAGTGACGTAGCACAAGATTTCAAACAGAGAACATGGGACAATTCAAATATATTTCACAAGAAGTTAGGTCATGAAGCTGTAACAGTCCACAAATTCATCTAGAACAGGCATGTCAAACTCACAACGTCACGTGACGTCGCGCGATGTATCGGGACTTTTCCCCCATTGCCAATAATGGGGTGGGCACGGTTAATAATAATAATAAAGTTGGAAGGGACCTTGGAGGTCATCACCCCCTGCTCAGGCAGGAAATCCCAGTGCCTTTTTTCTAAAAAAAAAAAAAAAAAAAAGGTGCCAGAACTCACACACGTCATACAACCTGTCTTGCCTACCCTACAAGGTTCCATCCAAAAAAGGTGCCGGAACTCCGTTCTGGGCGTTCTATGAGAAAAAAAGCCCTGGGAAATCCTATACCATTTCAGACAAATGGCTGTTCAATCTCTTCTTAAAAACTTCCAGTGTTGGAGCATTCACCACCTTCTGGAGGCAAGTTGTTCCACTGGTTAATTGTTCTAACTGTCAGGAAGTTTCTCCTTAGTTCTAGGTTGCTTCACTCCTTGATTAGTTTTCGACATGACGCATCCGGCCTGTGGGCCAGCAGTTTGACATGCCTGATCTAGTATCCCAAAAGTAAACTTTGTCTGGATGAAGGTATTTATGAAGGTATTTCAGGCCTTTATTATTTTTATAAACAACTCAAGGCAGTAGCAAACATATCCAGCACTTATTTGTCCTATTTTTTCCACAATAACAACCCTGTGAGTGGGTTGAGCTGAGAGAGAAGGACTGGCCCAAAATTACCTAGCTGGCTTCTTGGCTAAGGCAGGACTTGAACTCGTAGTCTCTTGCTTTCTAGCCTAATGCCTTAATCAGTGGACCTTGAATGAGATTGTAAAATGGTCTTGGAAACATTTCTCAGGTCAAAACAATCCTATGTGTTAGCTGCAGTCAAACACACCTCTCTGAGGGAGATGGGTAATTTTTAAATTTGATAAATAAATAAATTTGTCTATAAACTTAATATATTGCTATACCAATGATTAAATATTCTGTAACATCAGTTGGCAAAGCAAATATATCCATAAAAATATACAATAATATTTTTAAAGACTTCTATGTTACTGGTCTTCAAAAGATATATTAAAGAAAATTAGCAAAAAATGTAAATTCTTTGGGGGACATGTTCTCAAACAATGAAATCTCATTTGCTGCAAAATAAGTGCACAATTTACAAAGAACTGCACAATTATTGTGCTAAGGTAGCTATTAATTATTTAAATTGCATTAATTTTAAAATTAATTAATTTTAATTTAATTAATTAATTAATTAATTAGCATTTTGTTTGTACAATTTCCCCACTGAAAGAAAATGGAAAAAGAACTACAGGAACAAAAGGGAACATAGAGAGTAGAATACAAGAACAATTTCTTATTAATATATTGAAAAAAATGAAACATCTATTATGAGAAATGAAAGCAGGAGGTATGATATGACTCTCTGAAATGATTATTTGGGTGTGTAGCTCACTTTTATATTTAAATGTTATAAAAATAAAGAAACAAGAATAGTCTGTGGCCATAAAAATTGGTTGTCTGTATAGTTTGCCCCTGACAAGGTTCTTATTCTGATCTTCTTTCATTCCACTACTATTTTATCTGGAGATTGCCTGGACCTGTTGAGGCCCGGTGCTTCAGGCGCTTTAAAGGGTATTAAAATCTCATGTATTTAACTATATGATTCTCTCCGTTTAACCTAATTACTTGATATTCAGAATATACAAACAAATGTCTATCATATTTATATGCCACCACTGATTCTACAAAGACTCCCAAGCATTTACAACAAAATAAACATCAAATCCTTAAAATGGAAAATCAGTGAAACATCACCTCACTATCACATGGCATCTTTATTAAGTGGCCAACCCCATTTGCCATTGTCTCTTTCCCAGGCCTGACAGAATGTAACTGGTCCAAGGTCACCCAGCTGCCTTTGCACCTATGGTGGGACTAGAACTCACAGTCTCCCACTTTTTAGCTTGGTGTCTTAATCACTATACCAAACTGGCTCTCTCATATCATATATTGCAGTGGTGGCGAACCTATGGCACAGTGCCAGAGACGGCACTCAGAGCCCTCTCTATGGGCACGTGCACCATCGTCCCAGCCCCACCTCCCCCCATGGCCCCCTCCTCATCAGCCCCCCCGGAAGAGAGTCGCCCTCGAGCATGGCCCGCGCGGAGCAGTGCAGCCAAGGACATGGCAGCTCGGCAGGGACATGACTCCACCCTTGCACCCTGTCACGCGCAGTTGATGCTGCGGGGTGCAGGTGGAAGGCAGGGCTGCCATAGCACTGCTGGGCCACTTGGGTGATCTGCGACAGGCTGTAGAGGCGGTGGAGGGCCCTGCGGGTGGGGGTGGAGCTGGGACGGAGCGGAGCGGGCAGGGGCGGAGCAGGGGCGGGCGGGGAGGGGCCGGTTTTGGGGCACTCGGTCTCTAAAAGGTTCGCCATCACTGATATATTGTATAGTATAAAATGGGTGTCCTTCTGTAATGTAATATTGTGTAAATCTTTTAATCAGAACACCTCTCTGTCCAGCTTTACACAATCACATCTTAAGTAAGAATAAAATGAATTTTCTGATATTATAGGACAGGATCAATTTATTTTCAGTGTCTTAGGATACAGAGATCCTGATGTCAAAGCTAAAAATTGAAGAGATAATAATCGTCAAACCTAAACATACTCTCTAACTCGTATTTTTAAAAGTCCACTACTCTGTTCCATTAAGCCCCCCCTGCCTAAAAACCTGCATAATGGCTAACATGCCGGCATGAGGTAATATCTCTTTTCCTTCCTTATTTCCACTTGGTCTTTTCTCTAGAGCAATAGCCTTTGCACCGGGTGGAAATAATTTTATTTGGAGCACATTTTTAACTGAACTGATCTAATTCATATTTCCAAAACTGCTACGTAGATTGGACTTTTAAAAAATATTTCAAGTTTTCAATTCAAAACTTAAATACATATCCTGAATGCGTATAAGCACACTGCACATATCTGCTGGTTGATGGGATACCCGGAACAAATTATCTGTTACAAAATAGAAAAGTATGTGTGTTTGTGTGTTTAGATTTATATCTTAGTCTATAAAAAAATTGAAATTGTTAAGATATAAAGTGAGCTATCATTCCCTAAGTAAAAGAGATATTGTGAGAGAATAAAGAATCATTGGTGAGTGGATTAAAATCGGGGAACCTGTTTGGAATGGTTCAAAAATATGGCCAAATGCTTTTGTTTGATTATTAAGAGACTTTCACTGAGTTCTTCCTCTTTTGTAAAAGCTAAAAATGTTCTTTTCTATGAGATAAACAAGATAAATACCAGAGTATATCCCTTTTGATTAGTGGTGAGCACCATTCAGTGGAAAAGAATCAAAGATTCTATTTAATTTTTTTAGAAGGAGAGACTAGGGCAGGGATAGGCAACCTTGACTCTTTTATGACTTGTAGACTTCAACTCCCAGAATTCCTGAGCCAGCCATGCTGGCTCAGGAATTCTGGGAGTTGAAGTCCACGAGTCATAAAAGAGCCAAGTTGCCTACCCCTGGTAGGGTAACATTATTCATATGAATGAGTGTGGGTGAGTATTTTTAAGTCTCAAACAATTAACTTTCCATTACTTACATTATTATAAGAGCTTTCTAACTGCTTGGTTATAAGGTTAAATTCTTCACATGATCATCTCACTGAGAATGGCACCATTATTAAAAGATGGATTTTTGTAGGAATTTTGCAAATTCCTATATCTAAGCACTGAAACTAAGCATGTGAAAATTAGGATGAACTGTTGTCCAGGCATTCACAAAAAATATTTTACAAGTCTGCCATGACTAGAGAAAATCAACTCTTGTTGATGACAGCATCTTAGAAACAGACATGTGACTCATTCCTCAGGTGTATTAAAAATATATGCTAAAATAGGGAGGATAAATACGTTTGGACAGACGTGTATATATGACACATAGCCCAACCCACATCCCAAATGAAGCTGGAAGATTCTGGCTAAGTGGTTTGTCTGTTTTACAGCCAAAAAGAAATTTCTAAACAGAATAATAAATGAAGAAGAAATAAGGTTTATGACCTGACCTGGCTTCAGATTTTGTTTGTAGTTCTGGGAAAGCAGCATGTCCTTGGACAATATGCTCCATCTTAAGAAAAGAAAATGAAAAAAAATATTGATTTTTGATTGAAGGTAGTTTTATATTTCTGAAATACGATTACCTGGATGACAGATTTGTTTCAGCAACTATGCATTCTACCAATATGCAGAAAAATAAGCACTGAATTGAAACTTGTCATTTTTTGAAAATAAACTAAGGCCTTACTACAATTATCCTTTACACTGTTTTTTTGTACAAGGTAATTCTTAACTATAGCAATTACTGCTGTAATTGTGAAATGTGATGTGGGCCCCAAACCTTCAACAGAATGACTTTTCATTTGTTCCCCAATATACTGTTTACAAGTCCCTTAACATTAAATATAGTCAATATGTATGTGCATTTTACGTCTGCAAACCTGAAATATGCAGCAGATTATTATTTCTACACTCTACATCTCAAGAATATTGTAAATTCTGTTGAACTATATGAGTCTGGAATACCCTATAGTAATGTATAGAATTGTGCAGACAGTCTAAAACATAAAGATAAATTTAATCTTGATCTATAAGTGATGATGATATAAATTCAAATTTCTACTCAGTCCTGCAGTTCAGGAAGCTTAGGCCAGTTATTTTCTCTCGGTCCAATCCGCTAACAACTTGTTCTGAGGTTAAACTGAAGGATGAATCCAAGTTTTATATTAGTAGCTTACAATAGTTGTTTCACACAGTTTCAGTGGGAACTTCAGGAAACACACTGCTACATTCCAGGCCGTTCTCCAAAAGAATGAATTGCAACTAATCCAACTTCAAGGTTATCAGAAAATGATCACTGAAGCTGGGTATTCTTCTTCCAAATAGGATATGGCTAAAGCTGATAAAGAGCCCTCCATTCCATTATATGTTGTAGCTATCCAGGATTAATACTAGATCCAGGAGGATATAAACTTGATTCTTGAGGGATCAGTATTAGGGACCGGCAGTTCCTTTCAAGAGCAGGCATTTCTCCCAAGTTCAGCACATGAATCAGCAAGCAAAGGTGTACCAGACATATACATTTAATAATAAATAAATAAGTAGAATTTCTATTCCCAAACATATTTAAAAACAAAACAAAATGAAGCTCTCAATGACTGAAATGAATATCTCTGTGAATAAAGTTAAATCTTATTCCTTAAATCCCAAGTCACCCAATATTAGTTCATAGGTATGATCCAGAGCAAAGAAACTTTAACTTCACTAATGAATGTATTCATATACTTGAAACATGTATATGCTTCCTTCGGCAGCATGTGAAAGACAGTATACAAAAATAAGATAATACATAAATATGTGCATATATTAAGAAGATACAACAGGAAAGTAGTTTCTTTTTTATCTTTATTTTGCATACAGAATTCAGTCCAGAGCTAAAATCTATTTCATGACAACATAAATAAGGCAAATCTACTTCTTATGGCACATGAGGGATAAATATAGTTATCATCCTCTCTCCCATAACTTAGAGCAGACATGTCAAGCTCGCGACGTCAGGTGACATCGCGCAACGTATCGGGACGGTTTTGCCATTGCCGGCAATGGGATGGGCGCGGCTTCCGTGTGACGCATCCGGCCCGTAGGCTGGCTGTTTGACACACCTGACTTAGAGAAACTTACTATGGATCTGCTATATATACTAAAATTACTTCAAAGTTTGAACTGTCACATAACTTTATAATTCTAATCATTATTATCCAACTGAACTTATATGATCTATTGCATGTTTTCATTTAACAAATGTGAAAATAATGATGTAGCTTAAATATAAATAAAATAGTAAATGGAACTAAATTTAGACCTACCAGTTTCCCTGTTACACTTTGACCTCCTTCATTTAGCCACAATCCTGGCACCATTGCTGAATAATAGGGTCCCCAAACACCAGGAACAAATATAGGGGACTTACTAACCTGAAAAAGAAAATTTAAGTCTGTAAGAGTTGAAGCATTACAAAGTCACAGGTTTATGGGTAGATACTTGGAAAGCTACTGATGGTCAATGTTCAACAGCAAAGACAGCAAAGGAAAACTAGTGGCAAAGAAAAAGAAGCAAGATAGAAATTTGAGAAATTGTCTCTAAAATGCACATAATTGTTCTTGAGACTGCAGCACCTCATCAGTAACAACTGTCAAAGATTTGGGGGATTTTAGTGTTGACAACAAATACATGTATGGCAGCATCCTGGCCATATTTACAAAATATATAGCTCAATTTTATCAAAAGTTAAAATCAACAGGCAATTTACAGATAAAAAAAATTATCTTTAAGGAGACAAATTCTGTGTGTGTCCAATCACATTTGGCCAATAAAGAATATTCCTATTCCTATTCCTTCCTATTTAGGAAGAGAAAGCAGAGATTTTGGAGTTGTCTATCAACCATGATCAATCACCAAGGAATATTATTCCTAACTAAACTAAAATCTATTGCATTTATATTTGACATTATGATTACTTCTGAATTTGCACACATACGTCTGTACCATCATGTGTACACTTTATGGAAACATCTTACCTCATCTCCTCTCTGCCAACACATCAAATAAAGTTTTCCCATTTTTCTGAAAGAACCTTGTTTTGTATTCTGAGCTTCCGTGTGTGTGTCTGTGTGTGTGTGTGTGTGTGTGTGAGAGAGAGAGAGAGAGAGAGAGAGAGAGACGGGGAGAGAGAGACAGGAAGAGAGAGAGAGAGAGACGGGGAGAGAGGGAGGGAGGGGGAGAGGGGGAGGGGGAGGGAGAGAGATGTCCTCTGCTAACTACCCCAAGGATAAAGTACAAATGAAAGTAAGAAGGTATGATCCCAATAAGCAATACTATATTTTTAGTATTGGGGTTTTAGAGGTTTTTATAGGTTACTTGAGGCCCAATTGTTAATGAGACAACTGCAAATCCTCTTTTATAATTATCCCAAAAATGAATAAATAAAAGTACGCTAAAAATAACTGACCACCTTATTTTAGAAATGTGCCAAAATTATTGTTCACTTGCAGTTGTTTTTAATCTAATTCTGAAAAAATACAACTTGCAGAATATGTGACCTGAAACTGGAATAAAAAATAAAATCCTTTCTAATGAACATAAACACAAACACAAAAACGTCTAATATGTACTTTTCTGAACAACTCCAGGAAGGTCTAAATATTTTATGACCTAACTCATTATTTGCCATATTCCATAAATGATTGGTTCATTGTTTCCAAAGCTACCTGAGTCTTTGCCAATCCTCAAAGGGAAAGTCAAATTAAAAGACTATAATTGGTTCTGCTGGGAAACCACCAGATTTTGAATATCTGCAGCCCAGCTTGGCATTTTAAAGAATACCCACAATAATTTACCAAGGTATTTCTGTCACTAGCTGATCTCCACTAACCCACTCAGATGTTCATATCATCTTACTCCTGAAAAACCATTTGAATGCATTCCAAAAAACTATCAACAAATCTAGAGAGCAATTAAGATTTGCACATTAGTACATCTTGAGCATAGACAATGGGTGTGGAGCTTTTCCTCTGTACAAGGATTTTCTTTCCTTCTGCCAGAAACTCTACTGGGATCTTTTAAAAATCCTGGAATTTGGCAGAGGGCCACTTGTTCTTTCCAATAGATTTCTCCAGGGTTTTGCATGCAAATATATTCTGCAGATTCACCGTTCTCACAATTAGTAATGGCTTCCATAGAAGAGATGTCCAAACAGAAAGGGATGAATAGCTATTAAATATTAGGGCTGTTCACGTTTCAATTTCTATGAATATAAATGTATGCATAAAAGGTAGCAATAAAAGATACCATAGATTGAGCCACATGTGGACGCATGAAATCAGCACCTACGACAACTTGTTAAAGTAATGGAATCTTTTCCCAAAATTGTACAGTAAATCCAAATCTGCCTGGTGAATGAATGCTAAAATACGAAACCAGACCATATCTAATTTACAACAGGTACACTGAGGAACTGATGCACACTAGCATATTTTGTGGCATGTTTGAGTGCATTTGAGCTCCTCTTTCCATTTTACTTTCAGTAATTCCATCTTCTGAAGTACATTTTGAGTTAAATACTGAACCAGCTTGATTATTAGTCCAAATTTAATTTTAAGAATCATGCATGTAAATATTATAGCATTTTAAAATGTCTTGGGCTGGCAGGCTCTTGAAAGTGCTTTTGTTGAGCATGATAGACCTTTGTAAGTTGGTGTAACAAAAAACAAACAAACAGTATTTGGAAATATTTCCACATCCTTAAATGTATTCAATGCATCTGCATTGTAAATATTCTGATTTTTATTCAATATTTTGTCATCTCATTCAATATCATTTTTAATGCAATTCAATTTTTTTTTAAAAAAACATACAATGAAATTGGTGGCAACTATGTGAGATTTCCTGACAGCCAGATACCTTCCTCAGGACAGGTGCAAAGCTCTATTTTATTTTAAATATTTATAGCCTATCCACTATTCTGAAGACTTCACAATAAAATATAGACCATAAAAAGAAATGTGAAGCAGTAAAACCATGTCAATAGGTAATAATGTAAGTAAAACATATTATTTAAAATGCACAATTATCAATACAACAACACTGAGAGGCATTATTAAACAAAGCATTGTATAGCTGTGACTAAGCTCTGAAGGTGAGAATAAAGTTCTTTCTCTCTAGTATTGAAAGATGAGATATCAATACCATCCTGACTTCCAGGAAAGGCATCCCAAAGTAGGTTGCCAGCAGAGGTCCCCAACCCCTGGTCCGTGGACTGATACCGGGCCACGGCATGCCTGCAACCGTGCCGCACAAACAAGCAAAGCCCCATCCGCAAGATGCAGGCAGCACACAAAACCACGCCCCCTCCAGTCTGCAGAAAAACCTTTCTCCATGTAACTGTTCCCTGGTGCCCAAAAGGTTGGGGACCTCTGCACTAGAGAACACACTTATGGCAGTGATAGGTCACTTAAAAGACTCTTTTCTTGTAAATCTAAATGTTTTAGTAAATTCACATTGAGAAAGGTTCTTGTTCAAGTATCTTGGTTCTGAGACAATAAGGGACTCAGCCATTCTGAGATTTTTTAAGTATGATTGGTAGTACAAAGACAGGCAGTGCAGTTCTTTTAGGACAGATGCTATGTTAAATCTGAAAGGAGTTTAGGTAATAGTGTCACTGCTGACAAAGGGTGCAATCTGAGTCATATTTAAAGGCATATTGCATTAATCCAATGCTAAACGTAAGTCAAACAAAGCCACTGCTATCCAAGGAGGATCACAGCATAACCAGAAACACTGGCCAAATGAACTCCAGACTTCTGATGTTACTTGATTCTTGGGTGATACAGAAGAAACCAGGAGTACATCTGTGTACCTGCTCCTTCAATTGGGAAGCAGCTTTATACAGATTCAGAGCGAATGAATTCTGAGACCTGTACGTGGCCCCAGAGAGTCAGCACATCATAGCAGATGGAATAAGTGGCCAAGACATCCAGAAAGATCAACAGAGATGAATTACCGGTATGTCTTTTCCTGAAAACAGGCCATTTGCTACCATGGTCAAGAGTACTTGAGTGACGAAACCAAGCCTGAAACTCAACTGGAATGGGGAGAGATAACCCACATTTTCCAAGAATGTATAAAGCTGACCAGCCATCGCCTGCAGACGTATTTTGCCCAGAAAGGAATTATTTGATAGAAGTTCTCAAGTATCTCCAAGTCCATCCTGTGTAGGAAGCATAGCATCACTTCATCTTTCATCACAGACTATTCTGCTGTAATCAGTTATTTTATCACTTCTTGGATATCACCTTTCTGCTAAATCTTAATAGCCAAATGGGCAAGATGGAAACAGGCTGAACAGATGCTAATTTTTTGACCAACATCTTTGAGCCTGAGAAACTGAAACTGAACCTAAAAACATAACCAGCCAGTTCCCCATATCTCCTCAAGAAAAGTGATATCAAATTCTGCATTGACTCAACGTTTTATATCGCCCGCACCACAGCAATCTTCCAGGTCTTGCATCATACTATCTTTTCTCTATTAGAAAACCCTATTCTGTCAAGCTTTAAGAAGCTCATATATTTGAATTGTTGGTATTGGTTAACTGATAATTAAACACAGTTTTGGATTCTTAAAGTATGTGAATTAAACATAGTTTTACACTTTAGGCCTTCAAGTTAAAAACTGTTCTCTTATTAAAAAGTAACAGGAGGACATTTAAAAACTGAACAGAAATATGATAAATAATTGTTGTTGACTGAATTTTCATCCTCAATAAGTAATCTCTGTGTTAATTATGCTTCTCAGTTGTAAGCATTTTTCTTTGTTGTACTTTCTTCAGTGTTTCTTTTTTTGCCTGCAACATGTGCCTTCAATAGAGCTCTTTCTTCCACAGATATTCTTTACAAGTTATAATTTTTAATTTTCTATTGTTTACAAAAGGTTTAAATTCTGACATTCATATTTTTCAGTTTTATCTCTAACAATTCCTTGCAATTAGAATGTATTTGGAGAGAGAGGCTTATAATTTAACAATCTGAAACACCAAAGGAAAAGGAAACTCTTTCAAAAGTATGGTCATTTCTTATCCAAGAAAAACATTAACTGTAGGTATTAAAATAAAGTGTAGCAAAGAGATGCTTTTCTTCAAAGAAAAGTCATAACACCGATAACAACTGGAAGGAGGGGGAAGGGCTGGAAGTCACAAGTATTTCTAAAAACTCTTCAAATGTAAAAGGAAGCATAATATGCTGGAGGGAAGGCAGGCTTTAGTTTCTGATTTCAATCCCAGCTACACATCAAATGCAAACTTGCTTGTACAAATATCTGTCTCATTTGTATAGCCAAGAACAAAGTCAGATTGAGAATAATTTATGTTATTTGAAAATGTGATAGGAAATTCTTAAGATCTGGATAAAAAAAAATATGG